CAAGAGTCGCCACTGACTTTTCTTTTATCCAATAAGGAAAGGCTGAAAAGAACAGGAAAGACCTTTCGAGATTATTTCTTGAGTTCAGGGGGTAGGTTATGAAAAGGTAAGGTATTAACACCCTCTTCATCTGTAATGATCTACGGGCTCTTAGTTGCTTGCTAGATCACTTGCTTTTGTTTGAAAGTGTGTTTTGTGGTGTGGTTTTGAAAGTATTTTGAAAATACTTTGTAATGGTTCTCGTTTCTATAAGAACGCGTACAAAGTGTTGTTTTGAAAATAGTTCAAAGAGGTGTTTGTGGAGTGTATTTTTGAAAGTGATTTTGAAAAGGTGTCTTTGTAATGGCTCTCATTTCTATAAGAACGCGTACACAGTATTTTACCTTTTTTTGAAAATATTTCAAGATGAAAGTGTTGGTGTATAAGATGTTTTTGTTGTGAGCAAGCGAGCAAGTAGGAGCAACCTACCTACTCAAAAGGTCTTAAGTGTTCTTTTCTTCCTCCTTTAGATGTTGCTATCTTGCCATTGACTTGGTAAGAAGCCTCATCATTGGATTTGAAGGGACATGCTTGGGACGTTTGTATAGTCATAGAAGGCAACTTATGGGACGTTTTAGCAATGTTGTTTTAGGGACTAGATCGTTTACCGAAGGTAACATCGAGGGTCGTCGAGGGATTATGATCTTTTATCGAGGGTCTTTGCTAAAATGCCCATATTCGAGGGACATGACTATTTTCTGAAAGGCAACAAAGTGGGATTACTCTAAGGGTGCATGTGTGAATAGTGTATTTGATTGCATGCATTTTGTCTTGAATTAGGTTTTTCTACGTCTTGGTTTTAATCTTGCCATACACACCCTAATTACTAACATTTATATGAAAGTGGTAAATTGCATAAAGTAAATTTACTATGCTATTACATCACTTGGGGATGGGGATACAAATATATAAATAGGGATTTGTAAGAAATTAAATCCTAATTAATTATTACAACCATATTGAATGTGAATAAATGCAAGAATTGGAATGAAAAAGAAAATGAACTTTGTTTTGATTTTGTTAAAGAAAGGTTTTGATTAATTAAAATAATTATGAAAATAAAATATTTATTGTAATATTCTTGTATATTCATAAAATAAAACTTGTGAATAAATAGTGTGTAAAATATCAACTCAAAAGGAGTTGTTTTGATTTGTTAAAAAAATGTTTGAAGTTTATTAAAAAGAATAGGAAATAAACAAAGGATAAAAATGGTTCTGGTCCTGCCAGGGTTTGAACCCAAGACCCTACACAGAAATGCCTTTCGTGCGCGCTATTTGTACCACTGGGGTGGTATGTTTCATCCGTTCATAAGGCAGTTTCGATTGGATACAAGATAAACTTGTTTCCAAATTTTGGACATGCCCATCTTCTTCTTTCGATTGCAAGAGTGCAAGAATCCCATGTTGAGATTCGAAAGGCCTTCATTCTCAGCCAATCGAAGGATGCAGAAAACATGTCTAAAGTTTGAAAATGAATCTAGCAAATGTAACTTTCGAAAGCTACAGGCCAGAGGTTAACCACAAGTTTATTTGGCACCAAAATCAAAGGCTAACTAGGCAGAGTTGAGATTCTTAATGTATAGGCAGTGAGAATCGAAGCTAAAAGCAGAGTCAACTTCCTAGATATAATAACTACATTTTTTCTTTTATTTATATGTACAAATGATATTTAAATGGAAAGTTCCAAGTTTAGAGGAAACTTACCTCTTGAAGTGCCAAACAAAGAAGTTGTATGTGACTTTCAGGAAAGATTCGATGATGGGCCAAGCCTGCAGGGACCTTCCTTGAGCTAGTTCAGTTGTTGTTTTGTTTGAAGAGAATTGGATCGAAGGTTGGTATACAGCAGTCTAGGTGGTGAATTGAAGGACTGTTATGTTGCTGTTAGGGAATGAATTGAAGGGTTCACATGCATGGAGGGATATGAGATTTCTTGTGAGATTTTTAGAATTTGAATGTTTAAGAATGTTTGAGAGTGTTTGAGAGTTTTTTTTTATGATCTCTTTACTCTATCCAAAAAAAATCCCCCTTGATTTGTAAAGAGTCCCTCTATTTATAGAGAAGAGGATTCTTTCATGTTTAGGATAACATGTTATCCTCTTGTGTAAAACAAAGAGAAATTTGGTTTGATGGGTTTTTCATGGTTCCCAGGTATAAGTGGGGGGGCCTGATGTTTGTAGGAGACTTGACTTGATGTTACTTGTACTTTGCATAAAGTCTATTTTCCTGAAATGACAATAATAACTTTATGCCATATATGGAATGACCTTTTGGACGAAGCTTCAAACATCTGGGTAATAGTTTAACTAATTGTGTAAACAATTAATTATGAAGTGAGGTATAGGTTTAGAGGCCTGAATAGCAAGATCATGTAGCACTGGCCTATGGATTTTGTTTTCAACTTGATGCATTAGATCAAATACTCTATCTTTCGTTTTGGCCATACAGACTCAACCTTCGACCAAATTTAAGAGCAAACAAAGTTGAATATTTCCAAAAATGGCATGCCTTTCGATTAGGCCATATTCGAACTTCTTACTTCACCAACAGAAGCCAAATGCCATAAACGAAGCAAAGGAACCAAGCTTGCTTAAAGGAGCCAGATTCCCAAACGAAGCAAAGGGACCAAAGCTTGTATTCGGAAGATCCCACTTGCCCAAACAAAATGTAACCAAAACTTGTATTGAAGGGGGCCATACGCCCAAATGAAGAATGCATGCAAGAGGTAAAGGGTACAATCAAAGGAAATCAGAAAAGAGGCCTTTGCCTCCTGAATCGAAGAAAATCAAAACAGGAGGCCTTTTCTTTCTGAATCAAAGGAAGCTAACAGGAGGTCATCAACTTTCTGAATTGAAGGAAACTAGCAAAAAAGGTCATTTCCTTATGAATCGAAGGAAGCTAACAAATAGGTCATTTCCTTCTGAATCGAAGGAAGCTTTTCAGAAGTCATTTCCTTCTGAATTGAAGGAAGCTAACAAAGAGGTCATTTCCTTCTGAATCGAAGGAAGCTTTTCAGAAGGTCATTTCCTTCTGAATCGAAGGAAGCTAGCAAAGGTAATCGAAGCTGGCTTGAATCGAAGCAAACTTGTTTTTTCTCCAATTTGTCAAAAACTCAAATTTATCTACTTTGCTCTTTCAATGGTTTCCTCTTTGATTTGATACTAAAAATACAAATGCACTTGTGCAAGCTTGAATTTTGAGAATCCTTGTGAGAAATGAGAGGGCAAATTTTGGGGTACAACAATAGTCAATGGCCAGAAATGGTATTGTTTGTTCAAAAAAGTTGAATGGTATTGTTTGTTAAAAAAAACTGAAAACACAGTAACGTGAATAAGTACAAACAACATGGTAATAAAATATAACTAACTTGACTCATAGTTTAGAAATAGTGTCTTGTGTACCTTAACAGTAGTACTTGATATCCTTTAACCAAATGAATGATAATATAAACATTAGCAATGTCAATAAGCCACAAAGGCTTATAAAATTCCTGGTGCAGCATTTCCAAAAGCTGCATATCTAAAGCATCCACAACATAGGTAGAATAATTCAGCACCATAACAACAATCCATCAATTGAAACAATCATTAACAAAAATTCAACACCATAATTCGTAAGAAACAAAAGAGAAAATGGAAAAGAAACTTGGTTGAGGAACTTTATTGAACACTTAGTGTGTAAGTTGCAAAATGGTGGTAACGATAACAATTTGATAATGATTCGTAAACCACAACCTGCAACAATAACAATCATCAACAACAATTCAACATCATGAAATGAAATAATTGAAACAAAAAGAGGCGAGAAATTGGTTAAAACATTCTATCGAACACCTTGTGAACAAGACTAAAAGTTGTATTTTTATTTCAATTCTCTAACTTTTCTGATATATTCCTTACTCTTTTGAATATCTTTTGCTTTGATTTTGATGTTGATTAAATTTGTTATGTTAATTTTTGCGATGAAGATTATGTTGGGTTGTATATGGTGTGATGAAAATGGGGAATATTGATGTGAAAGTGAAGGAAATTGAATGGAAGGTTGATTGTTGTTTAAGTTGTTGGAAGTGGTGTTGATGTTTGAGGTTACACGAGTAAGAGAGAAAGAGCTCGGGCAGGTGCCCAACCTCGCTGGGCCTTGGCTTCGCCAGTGGCTTGCGAGGTTTAATTTCATATTTTATAAATCCATCTTTTTATTTTACGTGTCATAAAATCTTTTTTTATAGATTGGAGACTCCAAACACCTGGAGATTGATTTGACTAAACAAATTTTATTGTTGTTAGGGATTCTCAATATATGGGAGATTATGAAATGGTACTTATGTGTTTCGTAAAAAACTCATAATTAAATGAGATTCGTTAACTTTTGTTAACACAACTCCTACAACATTTACTCCAACAAACATTAAGCAAATATGAAATAGTAACTTGTATCAAATTAAGAGGAAGTATTATAAGTGTGTATAGAATAAAAGTTTTTGAAGAGGAGTTTTTCTATAGTATTTAAAACATATTTTATTTTACATAAGGGTGTGTATAAAGACAAAAAAGAGAAGTTCAAAGAGTAAGATCAGAATTTAACAATATAATGATACAAAGTGAGCCCAATATACGATCCAATGTAAAACCCTCCATATACATAACAAAAACAAACCCTAATTATCTATCTAAGTACTCTCATCTCTGTTTCGCAGTCTTCACCATTGGAACAGTAAACCCTCTGTTTACAGTTGCATCTATTTCTTGTTATACTTCGTATTTGAATCTGCTAGTTTTATTCGATTAGATTTTCAGACCAAAATTTGAACCTTCTAGTTATGTAAGATTAGATCTATTGACCCAAATTTGAATCCCTCGTTAAATTTCAATTGATTTTAATTAAATTTATATGAACCCTACATTGTGATTACACTTTGATATTTTTGTGTTATTTTGGATGCGATGATTCAGAGATTTAGGAAAAATGAATCGGGCTAGTGCAGCTGGTGCCAAGGGAAAGAAGAAGGGTGCAACCTTCACCGTTGACTGTGCTAAGCCAGTTGAAGACAAGATCATGGACACTGCTTCCCTTGAGAAGTTTCTTCAAGAGAGGATCAAGGTTGGTGGCAAAGTCGGTGCTCTTGGTGATTCTGTTACTGTTACCAGGGAGAAATCAAAGATCACTGTTACTTTTGATAGCAATTTCTCCAAAAGGTAAAATAATGGTTTACAACTGTGATTTTATCTCTATGTTGTGTTTATACACTATAACGGATGCGTTTATGTGTTGTTTGAATCACTGTTGAACTATATATCTGATTTGATTTTAGAGTAAATTTCAACTATGAATAAGGCTTTTTAGAAAATGGTGAATTGGTAAATTAAGAGATTATAAGTTGGAAATTTTATGGCTCCCTACAATTTTTTGTCTGAAGTATAATTGCAATTTCCTCTCCATATGTGCAACTCATTACTTTGACACTCACTCACAACTTTCATGTGTAGTGTCTGCTGGATTGAGCCTATTTTTCATCTTTTTACATGATTTAGGTTTTAGATCTTGATTTAAAATATGCAAGCCATCTTTTATTTTAGACAGATTATTGAAGCGAGAATAGTTTTGATTTTATAACGGTAGGTATCTAAATGAACTTATATAGCAAGGAAGGTGGGTGCTTTTAGTGCAATTGAGGTGATGTGGGTGAGATTTGAATTCACCTCAGGGTACGGTTGTGTAGTTTAACTACTTCATCTGTTCCTTTGTAAGTGTCACTTTTTTTATTTTTACACATACCATTAATCATTATTGTTATTTTTTAAACAATAATTTACTTATAATATCCTTAATTATTTATCACATTCATTTGACTTTTTCTCTCTGCACTAAATGAATAGGAATAATTTTGACAAAAATGTAATTACTACTATCTTGAACTTTGCAAGTGACAAACAAAAAAATATTTTAAAAGTGACACTTAAAAAGAAACTGAGGGAGTATGAATGTATTTTATTGTTTTGTGCCTAGTTATGATTATTAAGTGACTTCGAATACTGTAGTTGATTGGTTTATTACTTTGTTTGTTTTTATTTTAATTAGATTGTTTAATCTGTTTAATCATGATATAGTGTGTTTGGTTTTATCCCTTTTCTCTTTTTTCTCACCACTCATTCCCTCCTTGAAATTGCCTTACTTGGTTGTTCTTGTTATGATTCCATGTTATGTGATGTAGTATAGCAAAACAAATTCGTTGAAATCTTGTTAGGAAATGATTAATCTCTTCCCTGTTATATGATGTAGTATAGCAAAACAAATTCGTTGAAATCTTGTTGGGCAATGATTAGTCTCTTGAATTTTAGGCACGCTTTATGTTTTATATATTTAAAGTATCAAAACAAATAAACATGTTGGTTACACCCATGTTGATGATTTTGGATTAATTTTCATAACCACTTGTGATCGGTGGGAATAGAGAACTGACTGTTTGAATGCTGGTTCGCGTTTACGTTTGTTTTCGTAAAATGTCGCGGTAAGCAAGAGTCGCCACCGTCTTTTATTTTATCCAACAAGGAAAGGACAAAAGCACAGAAAAATTCCTTTTTGAGATATTTCTCGGGTTCGGGAGGTAGATTATAGAAAGGGAAGGTGTTAGTACCCTTTCTATCTGTGGTTATCCACGGGCCCTTAGGTACTTGCTCATTATGTTTTCAAAAGTTTGCTTTTCTTTGTGATTGTGGGTTTGAAAAGAGTTTTTGTTTGAAAGAGAGTGTAAGTGCGAAAAGTTTTGTTTTTGTTTTCAAAAGAGCAAGTACTTAAGAACATCTACCTACTCAAAAAGGAATTAAACTGTTCAAATGTCCTTTAGACAATGCTATCCCACTATTGAGGAGTAGGTAGCACCGTCGTTGGAGTTTTCGGGTCAATTCGATTTAAGGGACGTATGGTCACTAAAGCAATGTTAGGATGCCTTAGCGGTAACCCTAATGTCTTAGATCATTTTTCCGAGGCAACCGTTTCGAGGCAACTTATGATCTTTGGACAAGAGGGCGACCTCTAAAACTTCCTATACTCAATGACCACATTCGAGGCAACCAAGTGAGGCGTACCCTAAGAGTGGCATGTGCGAGTGTGTCAATTTTTAGTTTATATTATCTTTACATGTCATGGTGAGCTACTGTTGATTTTAAGTTAAGATAGATCTTGTCATGCATAGCCTATTATTCAAACATCTAACAGTTAATGGTTGCAGAAATTAAATTGCGAGAAAATAAAGCTAAGCTATTACAAGGCGTCGGGTATTTACATCGCCAAAAACAAACCCTTGAAAATTAAATTGCGATAAATAAATAAGAGCGATAAATAAAAGTCCTAAGTTAAAACTATTACATCCTCGGAGCAATTACAATTATATGGATCAAAGATAATTCGCGCGAGAAAAAATTGAATCGGAATGTCCTTTGGGTTTTGACCCTTTTTATTTAAAGAAAGCATATTTTTTTATCTTTTTTGAATTAAGGATTAAGTCTAAATTAATAATGGAATTAATTAATTAAAAGAAAATATTTTTGAGTTTTTTATTTTAATTAAGGAAATAAAATTAGAAAGGTAAAAATATATCAAAACCCTAATTCTAAATCAATTTTAATTTATTGCAAAATATATTATCATTAAACCTAATTTAAAACTAAATTAACTGGTTAATTTTTATTTACAAAAATAAATAATGAAATTAATAAATATTATTTTTTGGTGTTTTCTGATTTTATAAAAAAAGAAGTTAGTTTGTTAATTAATTTGTTAGTTTTTAATAATAATAATAATAAAAAGCAAAAGAAATATGAAAAGAAAATAAAAACATAAGCAAACTTTGGGGGGTGCTGGGCCTGAAGAAGGTGTTTGAGTTGCAATTTCCAGGCCCAAACACAAGCAGCCTCGTTTGACTTTCTGAATAGCCCACATGCTTGTTGACTCTGGCCTATGGTAGTCCTTCCATCTAGACCATTGGATATGTTTTGCAAGCCACGTAGCCTTTCAGATCTGCAAGCGCATAGTGGTCCACTCTTTGAACGCTACATGGGAATACCCGAAGAAGAAAAATAAACAAGGTTTTGGGGGACCTGGGATTCGAACCCAGGTCCCAAGGGACTGATTGAAGGTGCCTACGAGACTGCATGTACGGGGCGTTTGATCTGGATATGACATCCTCCGATCTAGAATTCTACAAGGAAGTTTGTTAGAAACACAAAATATATGACCTGGGTATCGAACCCAGGTCCTTTTCGCTGCAACGCCTCTTCCTCACCAACCTAGTTGAAATATATTTATTGGTACAAACGAATCTGCAATGTTACATTAGAAACAAAAACACAGTATTTAATTTAAATATCGAATCTGCATGCTCAGTTGCCCCCTATGGTGTTAACCCATCGAAAACGAGTTATAGTTGTGCAAATCGAAGGTAAGCTCAGATCGTGCCTTCTTACTCACATGTAACACACTCAAACACACATGAATATTAGCAGCAATATGTATATATGTTTAACATGAATTTAAATCACACTTAAAAGTTTGAGATCAAAGGAAAAATTACCCACAGGGGGGTTGTATGAGGGATGCTTCACGATTCAAATGTTAGTCTGGACAGAGACTACACGTAAAACCGGCTTTTAGTGTGACAATCTTTGGCAACTTTATGGAATCTCGTGGGGCAGGCAGCGTTTTCTTCTAAGGCAACCTCTGTGTGTTTTTTCCTTTCTGCAGAGTTTTTCCTTTTTGCAGAGTTTTTTCCTTCTTTTTTTGTGAGCATGAGGTTTATATAGACAAAGGAATTTAGGTCAATATTTGTGTGTCAAATCTTGGCCCATTATGATGAAGATATTTGATTTGATTTCTTCATAAAGACTTGCTATATTTGATTCAATCACGTGCCAATCTGCTTTTATGCGTTACTGCCAGCCTGTTATGAGTTGTTTGGGCCTCCAACATGATGAAAATTGAAAGCTGACTTGCCCTTTGTAGATCCACTTCCCTTCTAATCTACTCTCTTCGATAGCTTTAAACTCCACTTCGAATTAATCCAGCTTCGATGTCACAGCCCCTTCGATTTAGACTCCTTCTGCTTCGACTGCACGTTTGCAAGGACAACATGCCATTTTGAACTTGGGGTGGACCTTTTGAATGTTCTTCGAATGAGTCATTTACATGTTCTTCGAATGAGCCTCTTTCCTGGTGTGCTGGAAAGTTGAGGGGCATGTTCCTTTGTGAATCGAAACAAACTTGTAGGAGATTCTTGCCTCGTGAGTCAAAAGTAAGCTTGAAGTAGTTAATGCATAGTCGAAGCATTGTGAAATTGACTTGATCGAAGGGGGTCCAGCGCTCAATCGAAGACTTGTGAACCAAAGCTTGATCGAAGGGTTCCAAACACCTAATCGAAGCTTACTAATCAAAGCCTGATCGAAGAGTGCCAAATTCCCAATTGAAGACTGGTGAGTCAAGCCTGTATCGAAGGATTTTGGATACCCAATTGAAGACTTTTCCCAGATGCCAATTGAAAGACACCTTGTTCATCTTCAAAAAACTTTATTTTCGTTAGGCAAGTGTTTGTGACTGTAGCGATAAAAAATGTAGCGGGGTAAATCGGAGATCGAATTATTGATTAATTCGTCTCACAAAAGCAAGAGTCGCCACCGCGCTTTATTATTTCCAAGGGAAAAGGGAAAAGAGCGAAATAAAACCCTAAAGTATGCAATGTAAAATAATACTTTTAAAAGTAATGAAAATACAAGGCGTTTTGAAAAGAGGTCTAGAGTTCGGGGGTTGGTTATACAGTGGGAAGGTATTAGCACCCAATGTATCTATAGTACTCTATAGGAACCTTTTGAAATATCTGTTTATTAAAATGTTCGTTTGATTAAAAATAAATTGTTTTGGCCGAAAAGGGGTACGGACAGGTTTTTGAAGGTACGACGACCTAATGTCGAAGTTTTGACTTAAAAGGTATGAGTTTTGAAAAGATTGAATATTTGGGGAAAAATTATCTTAAGTTTTAATGAAATGAAGATATTCGCGTGATTGGATTTGAGGACATGAAGTCAACAAATTTAATCATTTTTTCTCTTGGATTTAGACGTAAACAGAATAACCAAATAAAGATGATATAATCAAACAAAAAAAACTAGATAGATAAAGATTAAGTAGCTAAGTGATATATGACCATAACT